ATGGAAAATACTATAGCACTATAGCATACTAAAGTCATTTGTACATGTGGAATAAATTTGCTTTTTATAGAGATCGACACTGCTATACAGGCTGATTCAAATTCGAGGGCACCATGGGGATCTCTGAAACCTCGTCGGAAACTGTAAGAGATAGGAAGGTAGTTTAAATTTGGCAAAGTTGCGTATTTTGATGCCGTTTTGAAACTAAACAAATTTCGAGACAAATTCCGACTACTTTCGATGTTCCTGAAAAAAACGAAATTTTGCAAAATCGTTTTAATTTTTTACCGAAGTTATTTAAAGAGATATCTCAAAATAAATTTCCCATTCTTATTTCCCTGCCAGTTTTAAATTTTGAGTTTGACGTTTCGTCTCCGGTTAACCATCATCAACTTGGTGTTTTCTTATGGAAGTACCTAACAGTTTTTTAAATTTCTAAACGGCATTTTGTGAAGCATAAAAACACGCACCTTTGCCAAATTTAATCTATCTACCTATCTCTTACAGTTTCCGAGATCTACATGGTGGCCCTCGAATTCGAATCAGCCTGTATAGGTTCATTTTGACGATACGGTATGACATTTATGCCCGGTTTCACAAACGATGACCTTTAATCAGTGATTAAAAATATTAGAACGGGAAACATCTTACCTTATAATCGAAGGTGCGGCTAACATCTAATATTTTTAATCATAGATTGAAGTTAATCATCGTTTGTGAAACCAGGCATTAATCTCGAATTTAATTGTATCGACATAAAGAGCGGGTGATAGAGAGGACTTAAACAAGATTACGTGGTTATTACGCAACCGAGCCCGTAGTGTCTATCATTTTATTTTGACCATTCCCAAATCTATGAAAAAGGTGGTTAGTGTCTTGATGTATGCAGGAATTAAAATCGTTTTGGATTAATTGTACTCGACCACCGTGAATTTTTGAATTTCATTATCGATCAGTTCGGTTAGTGATTTACTGATTTCCTATGTTTAGGGAGATCTAAAGGAATCAACATCAAGAAAATGAGTTTTAATACCAGTGAAATGAACAACGTAAGATCAAAATTCGATTGAGCTAGTCGTTGCAACCCATATTTTGTTTAATTTTAAAGTAGTTAAATAGTTTAAATATTGCAACTACCCGTTACAGGTTACAGGAAAAATGAAAAACTTTTTTTGTTGAATCCATCACTCCTTTATTCTGACCTATATCGGGATCGGCGATTGCGGTCGGCAATGAAACTACATAGGAAACGCTAGCTAGGGTTTGGTTTATTAAAATGACTAAGAATGTCATTCGCTCATTACATTCTTTACTTGCGTCATTTCCATTTTTTGTAAAATTTTTAAAAATATTAATGGACGAGACTAAAAATCGACCCCCATACAAAAAACCATAATATTCGTCCCTTGTAGTACAGTTTTTTCTCACATAATAAGTCCTGTCTAAGCAAATTGTTCAATTTCTTTCTATAAAATAAAATTTTTATTTTATCGCAGATATTAAATTGTAATTTTAATAGGTTTGAATAAGTAGGCTAAGGGTCTTTTTAACCGTAAGGGTAGATAAAGTGATCATTTTAACGGCAATGGTAGATAAAGTGAAAGAAATAATTGTGCATTCCAATGACATCTGCCATTCTTATTAAAAATGGGACCCGGCGCAAGAAATAAAATAAAGTTCAGAACAGAATACAATATTGTTTCCATGGAAACGATGGGATAACTATTTTGGACGTCTACCTACAGAATTTTCAGAAGTTGTGTAATGCTATGGCTTCAGGAAAGTTAATTCCTTTATCGTCTTGTATTATAAATAACTAGGTATTATTGTAGCGTGTACTTGGCGCATATTTGTAAGTCAATTATCGTTTTTGTTCTTTCCTAACTTATGTATATCGCTCTTGGTTTAAAAAATGAGTATAATTAAATTTTGCGTGTAAAACAAAGTCATTAACTATCGTTACCTAATTAGCTATCGACAAGCCCACATCGAAAATACTTCTGCTGGAAAGCAACGGGGTAATCTGATCTGTGCAAAACACCGCAAGTATAACTATTACTTATTAATTTGGCATAAAGAGGGTTCTGGGCGATTGTTAAATGATCCATAATAAACCACCGTTGTATGTGGATATATTTTCTTTTCGATAAATATCTATCGAATCTTGGGGTAACGGATTCTAACAATGTGTATTTTGAGCGGAAGCGAATGAGAGGTATTTTCAAGAAGGATGTTTACATAGTATGATTATCTCAATAAGACTCGAGATCAGAAAACGCCGGTCGAATCGATATTGTCAATTACATTGTCGGTACCGTATGAGCAAGCAGTTTGACCGCGACTCTCGCCCCCCTTTTTTTTATATTGCCGCCGCGCCGTTCGAATTCCGCAGAGTTATCCAATTATCTAAAGTATTTTTTTT